AGCAGGGCTGCGGTTGGTATTACACCATTTTTTCTTAGTTTTCTGACAAGCTGAGCTTGTTATTTGTATGGTTTCAAACAAACAAAGGGTGTATCACCATCTCGTAATTATTTCTTTATTTACAGCATGCTAAAAACGAATATGGCTATTTTACAGCTTTCTTAGGCCGACTACTAGGTACTTTTAATAAAAACGAAACTACCTAACGGAAATTGTAACGAACTTGATAAAAGCAAATTGAGGACCAATTATTTATCAGTCAGTATGTATTCTGTGTCCCGGCTTACAATAGGAAGTATCTGTCATCAAAATACATAACGTTTCTTGCAAGATAGGCATCAAGCTGCTCATCAAAAATAATTTCAAGACACTTCTCCTCCTCTCCCCGCCTCTTTCCGCTCCTTGCTATAAACCACTACCCCCTGGAACACGACTCGACTACATGAAAGTGATCAATTCAATTCAATGCCTCGACGAAGTGACATTTGCCTTGACGAAGCGAGACCTGTCACGATTAATCAATCCTGCCTCGACGAAGAGCAACCCGCCTCAACGAAACGACAGCTTTCACGATACAGGACCGGCTCGACGAAGTGAAACCCGGCTCGACGAAGAGAAACCCGCCTCGACGATCAGACAACCGCCTCGACGAAACAAAGGTACCCATTATGTCCAGTACATGACTCCATAGGAACGCAATCCTTTTGAATGGATAGAAGGGCCTTTTTGTGATGTAAATAATACGCAGATTGACAGCAAGGAAAAAATAAGTAATGGCCTGTTAATCTGACTTTCAAAACGCAGGGAACTGTTACCGTTCCAGGGTACTTTTAGATGAAGCGGGCACTTTTGCGGACCAATTTGAGTTCGGCCGAGAAACTTGCGATTTTCTCCTTGGTGTAAACCGAAATGACAACCTCTGGATAGCCATTCTCTAAGAAAATATTTTCAGTTGTTCAAGTTCCGGATCGAGTTTAGACTGGGAACAAATATCAGCAGTGCCCTATGAGTAAGCGTTTTGATGGGGTTAGTTTTTCTTTGTTTTGGGCAAAAGATTCATCTGATCCCAGGTATTTGTTTTCAATCAAAACAAACACCAAACATTGCTGAATGTCACAAACATTTTCAAAGAAAAAATGCTGACGAAAATTTGATTGGCGAAGAAAAAGATGAAAAATGAAAAACGAAAGAATATTTATGTACATATCAACGCATATTCTTTTAAAAACTACGAGACTGGAGGCATGATGTTGTCAAAATTATCCAACGAGAGTTAACAGAAAAACTATAAATATTTACAACTTTGGTGGGAAATATTTGTCGAAATTAAAGGATTCAAGGTTTTTCAGCTTTGTACCTTGCCTTGGTATTGAAAGCCTTAAAGGCAGTACGTCGCGCGGTTCATTGGTTTGGCGAAACAAAGGACACAATTTATATTTCAGTGAGTTTTCATTTCGTAACAAAGGACGCCTCTTAGTTGCTATTGACCAGTTGTACCAATTTGTCACGCTTCTCTAAATTCGAGGACCCTCGAAATTCAACAAACAATTGCCAATGAACAGCGCGACACACTGCCTTTAAGTAATCTTAAACAGTACTGAAAAACCAAAAATATTCATGGTCATCGTAACACACCGAAACGTCTAATTTCTAATCTGCCCGTAGAAAATAACTAAATTACAGCACTCTTAGTACTGGATCTCAAAGTTACTGTGATATTTAAAACTTCAAATTTGTCAAAGGGTTATAACGGCTAGGACAGACCCCAGAGTCGCCCTGTAAAATTACCTATCCTCCTGTGAATTTTATTGCTTCAAAAGAATCCGCCTACAATGTGGAATGTTGGGTGTTGCTTTCAGGAGACCTTCGGTTACTTTTTGTATTTACCAACTTGACTACTCTACCAAATCATGCTAGTATCTATAAAATGTCTAAAAACTGCTACAAAAATCAATTGTACACATATTTACAGCACCGTTTTAGCCGGCCTTGGTGGATGATCCCAGCACGCACTACTGGTACGCTTGAAAAACCTTGCTCTTAATTTAGGGAAAATTTCCTCTAACTTTGGTGGCTGAAGCAGGTTGGCAAATATTTCGTAAGGGTCAATGTCACTGCGTTGCTGTTGGCGTACGGACTCCGTGAGATTCGCACCTTTGGCCCAGCTAGGCACCATTTGGGCTGGATCTTCTTCATCATCAGTCGAATCATCTTCATTTAAATCTTCAATATCATACGATTGAAGAGACGGCGACCTTTTCTTGTGCAATTTGCTTTTCACTTTATTCAACGTAGGCGTCTTGTAAGAAGTACAATGAACCTTCTGGACTTGATTCTGCGCTGTCTTATTAAGATGTGGTGCTGGATGAGCCGGCGATTTCATCACTGACTCTTTAATATCTAGCTCTGCTTTATCAAAGGTTCTTTTAACTTCACCAAGCTGCTTTTGCTCCAATTTCTTCTTATAGTAAGCTTCGCGCTCTTTCATTTCCTGTTCCTTGGCTTCTTTCAGCTCCCTTTCCTTTTTCAATTTAGCTTCAGCTTCTTTTCGTGCTTTCTCTAATTCCTCAGCTTCTTTTCTCAGACTTTCTTGTTCCTCTCTCTCTTGCCTTTCCTTCTCGAGTCGCTTCTTTTCTTGCTGCTCTTTCAGCTCTCGTTCCTCCTTTTCTCTCTGAGCTTTCTCCTCCAGTCTTTTCCTAACCAGAGCCTCCCTCTCCTCTATCTCTCTTCTAATTCTTTCTTCTTGAAGTTGTAAGTCGCGTTGATGGCATTCAAGTCGCTGCTCCTCCAACCGTTTCTGCTCTTCAATTTTCTTTTTACGCTCTACCTCTTCATATTCCTGCTTTCTCTGCAAAAACTCTGCCCTTTTCTTATCCTCTTCTTCCTTCTCAGCTAACTTGGCTTTCCTTTCAAGTTCTTCATTTCGCCGCTTTGCTTCTGCCTCAGCCATTTTTCTCTCCCTCATTTTACGCTTCATTTCTTCTTCTTTTTCTTTATACTTCCTGACACGCTCTTCTTTTTTCTTCATCAGCTCAAGTTTTTCTTGTGTAATTTTGATTTTAGCCACATCCTCCTGTGCCTTCTTTGCCTGGGCTTCGGCAACACGCTGTTCACGCTCTTGCCGTCGTCTACAAAAATAACAGTGCATTAAAGTTTATGATTTTTTAACAGAAGATAGAATGGGAAAGCGGAAACGGTATATTTGCAAAAATAGGAATGCCCAAATAAAATGCGATTCGGCAAAAAGGTCAACATTGCTTGCTCAAGAGTCAAGTAAACGCCCAAACTAAGAGTGATTAAAATTTCACGGCACCAGCAAAATCAGACTTGAATTTAGGTGTCCTTGGTTTTTTTCTGCATCAAAACAAAAGATCCTGACTTGTGTTGACAGAAAAAGATCGTTTCCCACTCGCCCATTAATCAAAGACAAGGAACCATTCAAGCGCCTTATTCTTCAAATGGAAGCTTTATAACGATGGTTCACACCCTTCCACTCCACTTAGCATGTCAAAAAGTTCTTTCTTGACACTCAAGATTAAAACAATCAATATTGCATCCCAAGAGCGTAATGGCTCAATTTCTCCCAGCAATA